CACACACACACACACACACACACACACATATACACAGTATAAAAGTAGAGCGGAGAAAATAAATGAAAACGTCTCTTCGTCGAGTCGGTGGATTTCAGTCCTGACTCTTCATCTGGACGGTGTCTGGTAGAACGTGTGGAACCTGGTTCTTTCTAAACTTCAGTCTAGTCCAGAGGTTCTGGGGTACGAGTACCACCGGTGGTACTCTCTAGCGCTCGATAGTGGTCCCTGGGTAAAAATTCATATTTTTACGTTTAGATTTTCAGTTGAATAAATCTGAAACGTACCGTGCACAATTAATACTTAATAAATTAGAAAACAATGTGTAGCTACTTGTGAGATTATGAAATTTTTTTTTTTGCAAGTCTGTTGCTCACGTAACCACAGGCAGCACGGAATCATGGGATCACTCGCAAGTTGAACGTGGAACAAGTCGGAATTCTAATGTTCATCATGGTCATCATGGTGGTACAGAGTAGAAAAACGTTTGAGACACAGGCCAGGGCCGTTGACCTGAGGTTGAGCCTCCACAAACACATTCTTGAATCAGATGTGATCAAAAAATTTATAGCCCCCCCCCCCCATCCCCCCCCGTCTCTCCCCTCCTCTGCTCTGACCCTGAACAGGATTAAATGATAGAAAATGAAAGGATGGAATAATAAATTCCCGTTGCGACTCTCAGGAACGTTACTACGACAGTATGTCATGAAGACGCCTGCAGTACAAATACTGAAGGTCACGACTCATCAATATAAATACAGAGCACATCGTCAACCGCTGCCGTCTTCGTGTCTTTTCATCAGCCAAATGAAAGACAAAAAAAAAAAGCAGGCGTTGAATTCTCCCTCAGATTTTTCCCGCCGCAGCCGCGCAACGTTTCTCCGTCTCCTTCGCACGCGGGAAACAAATGCATGTATTTCCTCTGCACAAAGACAGAGAGCTGTCATGTCGTATGTCACAGCGGTCCAAGGACCCCCCCTCCACACCCCGCCCCCTACAGGCCCGCGTGGGCCACAGCACTTCATTCGACCTCAGAGAAGAAAGAAGAGAGATGAATTAGACGAGCCCAGCCGAGAGGAAATCAAATAACAGAAATGAAATGGGGGGAGCGCTCATCTCGCACGGGGAGCAAATCACTTCCTCTAATGTCCCATAAAGCACTGCTCCCAGTCCCCGCCCTCCTCGCTGTAGCGAAAACAGCCGTGTGACGGCCACAGTCGTGCACAGTGACGTGGAGGACGAGCGGTGGACCAGGAACATTTGAGCTTTTTTCTTCTTTTTTTTTTTAGGTTTTTCTCCGTCAGCGCTGACGTCCTCTGCTGCCCCCCCTCCCCCCTGCTTCCCCCCCTTCACCCC